TTTATAGAGCTCTTGCTGTTTTAACCCTGACTAGACTAAGACAACTATGGCATTTCTGTGCCACTCACCACTGCCTGGTTTTGGGTAACCATGGGACCCAATGCTGGCAAAAAGTCAGGAGGGGAATCTGCTGGGGACCTTCTGGGGATATTGTCTTAACTCTTAAGAAGGAGGCTTGAGATTGCCTGACCCTTTTATTTTCTACACTGTGCCATGTCTGAAGTCAGAACAGGATGCCTGGGCTCTGCAGCCTAGGGTGGGGGGTGCTCAGTGTTGGTTGAATGACATCATCAGGGACCGGTACTCTCTCATCTGTCTGCCCATCCGTCTTCCAAGTGCTGGCTTCTTCCAAGCAGCAAGTTGGCTGCAGCAATCCCAGTTATCATGTTCTAGGCACAACAACGATCAGAGGAATAGAGACTGCACTTTCTTGTGGCTCTCTTTAGGAGCAAGAGAAGTGCTCCCATAGCCTTCTCAAAAGACCTGCACTCCTGCCTTATTAGCTAGAATTGTGTCATGTGGCCTTTCTTGAGCCAACTAATGGTGAAGGGTATAGGATTTTCTGTAGCCCCATCAGAGCAAGCCCATAGCTGGGAGAGGGATCATCATGCCAAGACAGATGCAACTTCCAGCAGAGTCTCAACTGGCTCCTTTGTCTATTGGCAGTGGGTAAGGATAAAGGATTTCCATGTATGATTCAAGACACCTGAGTTCTGGTCCTGGCACTGCTGCTAGCCAGCTGGGTGACTTTGAGCAAGTCACTTAACCTCTCTGGATCAGTGTCCTCATCTTTAAAGTGGGAATAATAACCATATCTTCTTGTAAGAACCAAGTGAGAAAATGTGGGACACAGTACTTTGTAAGCTTAAAGATGTTACAAAATGTAAAATGCTGGGAATATTAAGGGGCTGCTCTCCTCCTTTGGGAATCCACTCTCTTAGGCAACAGAGCATTAAAACCAGCAGACAGCAGACAGCCAGGGAAGTGAGTCAGGAGTCTGTCTCCTTGACTGCTCTTTTGGGCTGCCTCATTTCAAAGCCCACTTTTGGATCAGAAGCCCCAGCACAGGTCATCTGTTCCTCTCCCCCTACCCCTCCCCCATACCCCTGTAACCACAGGCTCTTTTGGACTAAAGAGTTTTTAGAGAAGAAGAATGCCCACCTTCTTCAGATGCTCACACTTACCTGCCTCAAGTTTCACTGTCAGGGGGCTAGGAGGCTGCATTTGCATCCGGAAGTTGGAAGCCATCTTTCTTTATTGACCCAGTCTCGTGAGATCTGTAAAGGCCAGGCAGGAAAGATTTTAGAAAGTAGTTGTTAAAAGCTTATGCTCCAGAATCAGACCATCTCTCAGAATCTGGGCCTCGTGGCTCAGTAGCTGGTTGACCTAAGGCAAATCATTTAGCCTCTAAACCTCAGTTTCCCCATCACTAAAATAGGGCTAAGAATTGTCTACCTCATAAGGCTGCTCTGAGATAAAACATGTAAACCACTTAACACTGTGCTTGGTATAGAACTCATCAAGCAGAAGCTGGACTCTCTATTCTACTTGTAACAACTACTGGGAAAAACCTGAAGAATCTAATGCTGGCTCTTCTCCAGACCTTGAGAGGGCAGAAGCCTAAAGGGGTGGGAGAATACAGAAACCTGGGGTCCAGTCCTGGTGCTACCATCATGAACTGTGTGGCCTTGGCCACCCCAGTCCCCTCTGGGCTTCCACTTCCTAATCTATAAAGTGGCAGGGGCTGCATGGGGTGACCCCAGTGCCCCTCCTTACACTGAACGCTCAGGAGCTTATTTTGTGGCTTCCTAGTTCTTCCATGACAAAACTTCCAGAGTCTCCTCCTGTCTATCTGGTTTTTAGCAGTGGCCGCCAGGACTGTCCCTACCTAGGCATTGACTCTAGGGGGCTCCTCAGCATTTTCAGGCATAGACACTGCCTCTCCAAATCCCAAATCGGTGCTGCCGCTGTCCTTTCGCTTCTGCCTGGGGCTCCTCCTGGGTTTCCCACAATGACTCCCCCATCTTCCCCTAGGCCTCTGTGTCCTCTCACCCTCTTGTCTCCTGCCCAAATTCCTGGCTCCCTAAGCCAGGTAGGAAAGCGGTTTAGTTCGACCCAAGCTGGCACTTTCTCAGAACCTCCCCTGCCTCTGGCACATTCCTTGTGTTTGGGCAGGACCCAGAGAGCTGGAGAATTTCTCTCTCTCCTTAGCGTGGGTCCCCGTGTTGGCATGCCAACAGCCCCAAATATTTAAAGCAATCATGAAAATGAGCTCAGAGTCCCATGCCAGAGCCTTGAAAGGAATTAGGCTAAAAACGGGACAAAGGAAGAGGTGAGGCCAAATGGAAAACGCCATGAAAGGCACTGCCCAGTATGGCCGGGGCCCAGAGCCCTCCTCACCATCTCATTCATCTGCAGCCAGGCACTGTGCCGGGCCCCGGAGATGCAAAGGGGAGTGAATCATCATCCCTGCCCTTGAGGAGCTCCCAGTCCAGCCAGGGAAGCTACATAGACAGACAAGCACGGCACAGCTTGGTAAGTACAGACAAGACGACACCAAAGGCACAAGGGACGTCTCGAGGACGGGGGTGTCAGTCTGCCCAGGGTCAGTGACGCGTCTCCTAGAGCTTGGCCCAGGCGTGATTTAGGACAGGCATTCACTCCGGGACAAGGCAGCAGACGTGCTTCCAGGCAGAGGGGAAACAGCAGACGTGAAGGCACAGAAGCACGAAACAGGGTGGAGGAGCAGGAGGAAGTGCTCATGCGTGACTGCTCTGCGCACAGTGAGGACCCCGCCTCTCCACTGGGCATGTCTATGCATGTGTCACGTACAGGACAGAGAATGGGATTAGATCCAACAGTTAAAAAAATGTTGACAGAGGTAGATCCTTGTCTGCTTGTAGACAGAAGGAATGTCTTGAGCAGAAAGCCTTTAACAGAAGGTGCTTTGCATGTGTGCCAAGCATCAGTGTGTTCAGGTAAGGGTGACAGAGCCATGTGCCCAGACAGCAGCACCTCTTTTGGGATCACTCTGGGGAGATTCCCTGCTGAAGGGGAGACAGGATTTCCCGAGTCATTGGAATGATGGAAGAGAGTCAGCTTGGCAGGCTGGGAGAGCTGGCAGTGCCCCAGGCACCTGGCACCATGCAGGGGAAGGTGCCAAGGTCAAAAGCAGATGCCTGAGTCGTGATTAAGGGAGTAACCCAGGGACTCCTGGTTACCAAGAGGAGATGGGAGAGGTGGGCAGGCCCAGGCCTTGTCCTGCCAGCGCACTTCAAAGTCCTCACAGCAGTGGGCAGAGAGTGGTTTTTGACCTGAACCTTGGGGAGCTGGACAGCCACAGTGAAGCCTCTTTTGGAAAGAAATGAGCAAAATGAAAGTGACACAGCAAAATGATCATCAAATGCTATAAAGAAGAAAATCCATTATGACCAAGACGTCTGCTGATGACAGTGGTACTCATCACCATCATCACAACTGTCTTTACTTCTTTAAATGGTGCTAATGTTTGATAAGCCCTTAGGAACCAGGCTCTGTTAAGCCTTACATGCATTTAGTCCTCACAGCAACCTGAAGAGATCACTATTCTTATTAATGCCATTTTACAAAGGAGGCAATTTCACCCCAAGAAAGCTAAATTAAGAGCTGTGGTGCCTTAAACCAGGCAGTGTGTATTTACTTACTTGCTTATTTAACTTATTTATTTATTTATTTTTAAAGATTCGGAATTTTTTTTTTCTTTTTGGCAAACCCTGGATCTTGGTGTTATCAGCAGCATGCTCTAACCAATTGAGCTAACTGGCCAGCCTAGGTAGTGTGTATTTAGAGTTGAGAGTGTTGCAGGCTGAATTGTGTCCACTCCTCCCCAAGTCAATATGTTGAAGTTCTAATCTCCTGTACCTCAGAATGTGACTGTATTTGAAGATAAGGTCTTTAAAGAGGTAATTAAGTTAAAATGAGGTCATTAGGGTGGATTGTAATCAAATATGACTGGTGTCCTTATAAGAAGAGGAGATTGGGACACAAACATGTACAGAAGGAAGACCACGTAAAGACACAGGAAGAAGGCAGCCATCCACAAGCCAAGGAGAGAGTTCTCGGAAGTACCCAGCCCTGTTGACACCTTGATCTTAGACTTCTAGCTTCCAGAATTATGAGAAAATAAATTTCTGTTGCTTAATCCACCGAGTCTATGGTGCTTTATTATGGCAGTCCTAGGAAACTAATACAGACAGCAATGGCCAAGAGGGCCTATGAGAAATTAGGAGAAACAAGTCAGCAGAAAACACATGGTATCCGTGCAGGGGAGCTGACTGCCCCATGCCTTTGACTTGCCCCTGGCTGTAGGGAACCCAAGAACAAGCCCCAGATGGTTTGGACAATTGATGGTGTCTTCATTGGCAAGATCAGGGCTTGAAGGCAATGGGATTAAGAACTGGAGTTTAAAAGAGATTAAAACACAAAATTTAAAACAAAGCAGAGCCATCATAATCTCTCTACCCTACAGACCTTCATACCCCAAACCACCACGAGAAGTAGGGTCGAGGGGACAGGACAATATTTCCACCTGGCTTGAAAAGCAAAACTGGTGTGCAAAGGAATTCACTTTGTCACGTGCCATGGACCAGAGCCCTGAGGATGACCCCCATGGAAGATATCATTAGGGTCAGTAACTAGGTCAGCAGTCACTGTGTCTGGGCTCTTGGATTCCTCAAAGCACGTTAATCATTAAAGAAAACAGGCAAAAACATGGTCTTGAGGTCTGGTTCAACTAAAACTGGTCTAGTCAGAGAGGGGGTTGGGAAAGATCCCTGATGCAGGTATCTTGGAGATGCAAGTTGCCTTAGGATCTGCAATCAATATCAAATTGCCAGAGGTACAGAGGAGGGAGAGCTCCAGATTACAGGATGCTTGGGCCTAGAGATGTGGGAAAGGCATTGTGAAACTTTAAGAAAGCTGTATTTCTGGGCCGGCCCAGTGGCGCACTGGATAGTGCGCCGCTTGGGAAGCGCGGCGGCGCTCCCGCCGAGGGTTCGGATCCCACATACAGACCGGTTCCCGCTCACTGGCTGAGCGAGGCGTGGGAGCAACGCGGAGGGTTGCAATCCGTTGCCGGACACGAAAAAAAAAAAAAAAAAAAAAAAAAAAAAAAAAA